AAAGTTTATTTATATATCTCTATATATTTCAAGGAAAATATCTGTTTTTACCAAAATACGATATACAGGCACACAGCTGTAAAATAACTTTAAACCAATTCACTATAAAATTACTTTTGGTAATAAATAATCTGATTCTCAGAGAGGCAAAACACTGTACCTCTGCAGCTGTGCTGCCCGAGGCACGGTCCCTCTGCATTCCCAGAACGCTCCCAGACGCTCCCACCTGTGCTCCCCTCGTCCTTCTCACCGGGTCTTGCCCAGGGCAGAAGCAACTTGTGCTTTTCAGCCTGCATGAGGCGGAATCCTGCTCCCTACAAACCCCTTAAACGGAGAAACGATGATAAACACGTGCTGAAAGCGACCTGCGAAGTCAATGGGGCAGATCCTCCCAGCAGGGTTTATTCTGGAAGGAGCAGCTGCTGGTACAGGGCTGGTGAGGTCTGCTCTGCTCTGGGGCTCCTGCAGGCCAGGGAGCTGTGCTGGGGTCTGCTCCCAATGGGAATAAAACATCTATGGGTGCATCTGGGCAGAATTCAGAGACAGTCCTTAATCCCCAAAAAGGTCAGTCAGATTCACAGGCCTCGAATTAGATCTCCTCTGTCTTGGCAAAGTAATGGTTTAGAGGGGAAAACAAAACACGGCTGACTGGCATTCCTAAATCTAAAGCAGTTACATGTCTGATATGTTCCTCCCCTGCTTCACTAGTGGACACCCAGATCCTCAAAGGACTTGCAATACATCTGGTCACAGAACAGTATTGCTTTAAAAGTCAGATATTACCAATTGTAAGAGAGCCCTCTCGGGAGTATATAATCTGCTCTGGAGAGCCTGACCTTACCGAGGTGCACAGAGCAGCTTTCAGCTCTCTAGACTAGATTTCTCCCTTGTTCACACAACTGTTCCTGTCTACAGAGCTCCCTCAGCCCCAGGAGCAGCCCCGGCACCACCGGGTGAGCGAGGCTCAGCTGCTGCTGCCCCACTGAGCTGCACTCGGACACTGACTGAGGAACTGAACACAGAGAAAGCTTTTACAAAAGAAGCCTCAAGACAAAACAGTTGTTCAGACAGATGCCAAGATTTTTAGCTTCCTGGAAGGAGCAGACTTGCAGCACAGCACGGTTACAGTACACAAGAGGTGGCGGGGCAGGGGAGGTGCTTCCCAACTCATGCCAGGGATGGATCTTGGAGCAGCACTTCCACCCCATCCTTAGGGGAGAAGCCTGACCAGAGCTACTCAAGTTGTAGCCTTTGAAGATGATTATTTGGAACCTAATTTCCTGTTGCCCCCGTCTATTTCCTGTGATCCTTGAAAGACATCTCTGCACATCTCCCTGGGGAACAGTCTTGAGAGGTTTAGTCAGTCGTGACTTGACAGACATTATTTTGACAAATACTCAAAGAAATGTCCTGGAACTTCTCAAGAAAGCACTCCAGGGAGCAAGTCCCGTTTACACAGCTCATGGAAGTTAGTGCTCCATTTAGCTTGTGCACGAAGCAAAATGACACATCACGTCCCAACAGCAAATAAAACCCAGAGCATTAAAGACTCATAACCCTGCATTCCCCTGTCACTGTTATTTTGAGAAGTCAAAGGGCGAAAAAAGGCAACAGCAGTAACTTTGCAGGATGTTCAAAGCCAATTTGAGCAGGAGCACAAACAATTTGAGCAGGTGCCTACTGTGGGAGCAGGATTCATCTGAGCACACCACATGCAGGGAGTAGGGAGCCAGGCAGGAGCAGTCCCACAAGGACACAGTTGGTCCAGTTCACCTTCTCCTCTCAATGTATTACATGCAGAATTTACCCCTTTAATTTGGCATTGCCTGGTGCTGGCAAGTCTTCTCCGTTAATATGAGCAATAAAGATACATGGAGAAAGGGAGAGCGAGACAAGAGGGAAGGCAGCAGGCCTGAGAAGAAAAGGATTTGTTCTCTTCTCACTTAAAAATGGTTCAGTCTTTGCTTCGCTTCCACACTGAGGACTGCGAGATACAGAAACCAGATTTTCTTCAGTACACACAAGCATACACCGAGGTACCTACAACCATAGCACAGAGCACACAGTAGCACGAGTTTAGAATGACTTAGTTCAAACAAGACAAGCTTTTACTTGGAGGGGAAAATATCAACATTTTCATCTTGGTTGCAGTTGCTTTGGGCGGGAAGGGAGGGGGCTGGCTCATAATCCAAGACCAGACACTCATCCTAGCTACAGCTAGAGCAGGCAGAGGGTAAGAGCCCTTTGCTTACACAGTACAATTCCGTACTCCTCCCAACACAACAGGAGTGAAACCTCTATCTTTGAATGTCCCTGCCAGCACTGACCTTCTAACAAAGATCAGCAGGTAAGAGGAGAATGAGGAACCTCGACAATGAATTTTTGACTTGGAAAGTCTTTGCTGATAAGTACAACTTCTGAACTAATTTTCAAGGACTACATTCTCCTCCTACATTCCACCTTCTTCAGGGCTTTTTGTTCAGTTTTTTTAAAAAAGTGCATTTTCCTCTGATGAGATCTACCTTGGCAATAAGCAAACAGAACCTCCTTGAAGGGCTGCAAACTGGAGTAGAAGCCTGTCAGGTCACAAGCAAGGACTCCCCACTTCAGCCCGGCTAAAATGAAGGTGGGATCCCAGGGCTTTCCCAGTCAGTTCACAAGCAACGTCCCAGAGGTTCACCAGCCCACACGACTGGAATCATCATCATCATTCCTATGCTTGGAAACAGCATACTGTTTTCCACATAGATGGAACCAAAATGAGAACAGCTTCATAAAAGCAAAAGCTAAAGCAAAGCAAAAGCATTTGGTTGGAAGGCAGTGAGCTGAGGAAAACTCAGTTCCCTTTTTCCATGCAAGCTGAACACTGCTGGGGGAGGAACAGCAGGCAGGGCAACAGATAACCCACCTCTCACTCCCTGCTGCATTAAAGGCTTCCTGTACCTTCAGCTTCCACATACAATCCCATGTTTTAGTAACTGGGGACCTCCTACCAGGCAGGAAGGCAGAGATCAGCTTCACAGTTAATACATGAATCTTACCACTAATACATACAGGAGTACCCATTCCCCTGGCTAACTAAGGGCTCTTGTACCTCAAATCAGTCATGAATTACCTCAAGGTCCAAGGGTAAGTCCCTGGAAACAGCAAATTACAATGGCAAAGAGCCATAACCTTTACTACAACCAAAAATGATCTGCAGCACCTTGTGGAATCCACCCAAAATGGCGTATGTGTGTATATATAAATTTTGTATATAGACACTGTAGTGGTTCATTCTTTTTAATACATATACAAGTACCTATACATATATACATATTTACAATTTACACCAGCCAGTAGATGTATGTGTACTGTACATACACACACAAACGCCGAGAACACACATGCACACACACAAACACACACTCGTTAAAACAAACTCCACAGCCCAGGAAATGAAGTCCTGCCAGAGTCCAAAGGGCAGCACCAAGTTGGGGGGGCTCAAGGTACCAGCTTCAAGACTGCTTAGGACAAACACGAGCATTCACAGGATTTTGTACACTTGGGAAATAAAGAATAGATGGTGCAAGCCTCAGCCCAGCTACAGAGAACCTTCATGCAAACTCCCCAGCTACACTCCAGCCATTCCTGCTGTTCCATCCTGTGCCCTCAGCTGAATGGATCCACCAGTGCTGTTGTGGCTGACTAGACCACACCTTGGGTGATGGCACTGCACGAAGGCCTGCCAGGATACCATGGCAGTCAGCAAGTTTTTACCTAAACACAGAGGCATGGCTGGGCTTCAACAAAAAGCACTGATCAGACTTGTCCGTCCACTTCTTTTCTAGCAGACCATGGAACAGTGACAATAAACTTTTTTATTTAATAGCTTAAAGTATCTCCATTTCCTTCTTGCTCACACCTGCCCTGCCAGGAGCTGCCAGAGCTCCTCTACCTGCAGGGCAGCAGTACAGTCCCAAATGAGCCAGCCAGCACTGTTCCCAGCAGCCAGAACAGCCTTCCCCAGCGGCCACTGTCCTCCTCCACACCCCCACACCGAGGGTACGGGCTGGGGAGCCCACGGTGCTGCCACAGAGTTACAGCCCCTCGGTTCTCCTGGTTCCAGGGCAGGACTGAGCTGCAGCGGGGGACATGCAAAACATCCACGGGGTTATGGCAGCTCCCACTTGGTTTAACCTGCAAGGGGAACATCAGCACCTCTCCTGGGGCACGGGGATCCAGCACAGCAGGGTTGGATACGCAAGTGATGGGAAGGGCTTGTACTCAGCACTGTACAGGACGTCCTTTCAGCTCCTTTCAGGGAGTGCTCACACTGTGGGAGCCACACATTCCACCCACCAGGGAAAGGAGGGGCAACACCTCCTGGAAATGTCAGAATTTCTACACAGTATCTCAAAATGAAGAATTTCCTGTCCTCCTGTGGCAGCAACACAAATGGCAAGATGACCCACAGGACAGTAAGAGGTGGGGGCCAGCCTTGGGCATCTGTAACTTGACCACCTGCCCAACCAGGTCCTTGGCCAGCAGGACACAGTTCATATGGAAAACTGCTGTGTCCAATTTACAGGGAGCATTAAGTATCTTTACAACTTCGCTTGAAAGCCACTGCTCCAAATGCAACTTAATTGTCCACAGTTTTGTCTCCTCACTTGCCTAAGACTGAAAAAATATATTTGTTATGAAGGACTCTGTTATTGCTATTGTTGGTTTGCACTGTGTGGTTCCATCTTTACCATTTCAAATCCAAACTCTTTGGGGATAAAATATTGGTTTTTCTGTTGATTTTTTTTCTTTCCAATTTCTTAAAATTGTATAAAAATAAAGGATTTCCACAAATGTGGGCTAAAGGTAACCAATAATACTTCTATGCTTAGGATCAGCTGTTGGAAATGTGGTTGACAGCCACAAGACCAGAAATAAACCTCTAGTGATTCTTTAGTTTAACATTTAAAAGACATGAAAACTTCTGCTTATAAAATTGACCCCATACAGAATGGAACAGCTCAACTAACAGCTGTTTATTATTACTTTTTAAAATAATGGTCCTAAATTTAAAAATAAAATCAAGTACTTCCTTTTATGATTTTCACATTATAAAACTGCACCATTCAAAATCTGTGGCCAGGGAAACCCCTTTGCAATAAGACAGTTTCTTTTAATAGTCATCGAGGGTGTTTTCCAGGAAAACATTCCTAACATCCAGTATGGAAGCCAGCTCCAAAATGTGCTTTTGGAGGTGAGGGTTCTCCACCGTTTCATCTCTTGGCAGCTGAGGGTAAGATTCGGGATAATTTCGAGTCTCCTGCTAGATAACAGTGAAAACAGAGAGAATCAGACACTTGTTTCTTTCACAGCCTTTACAAAGAAGATTGCAAAAGGCCAATTTCACACTATCTGTTCAGTATGGTAGAGAGAGAAAATGTTCTAGAATTTTCAGGTTTTTGTTTCCATTATAGTGGCAATACAAATACCCACAACAATCTGAGATGGTTATTGGTATGTTCACAGAAGCTTTGCAAAAAAAAAAAAAAAAAAAAAAAAGAAAAAAAAGACTAAAAAAAAAAACAAAGAGACTTCATATGTGCTTACCTATCAGGTTGGAGTTCATTTCTTGAAATTACACACATGTAAGCATCTCCAGTGGGAGATTTATCTCATCCTAAAACAAGTATCTAAGACACTGGGGGCAAATCTCTCTACACTAACACAGACACATTTCTTTTCCCCAATATCAGAGTGGCCCAGGTAGCTGACTTAGGCTGAGAGAGCTGCTGGATGTCTGCAGTTCCACAAGTGAATACTGCCCCTTTCTGTGCTCAACTCCCATTTCTTCCTGCAGTGTTTAAAATGGAGCAGGCAGTTTATATGCCAACACTCACATACATAAAATGGTGCAGATCCAGAAGCAGACTTCACTGTTGGCACAGCTTTAACCAACGAGGAGGAAAAATGCATCTTCCTGTTAAGCTTATTCATTTACACTTCAAACACCTTTCAAAACCCATTCACATTAGAACACATTCAGCAGTAACATCCCACTCCTCCCCACTTCGTCTTATATTCTTGTTCTACACCTTTTTAGTTGTGTAGAAATAATAATCTCGACCTATTAAGATGTATTTTTCTAGCAGACACAGCTGTTCAGAGTGACATAAATGAACTGGAGTGTGTCTGCTGCAACTTCTGTGCAGGACTAAGGCTCCAGCAAGTCAAAGGCTTTGTGCCTTTGGAGAGACACAAAGGCACAGCCTCAGTGCAAGCTGTAGGAATTAGCATGTGAGCATCAGTCATCTTTCTGAAGCCACAGGGATGTGCTCAGCCCTCAGCCCCCTCCACCCCGAGCCAGCGCAGTTTTACGTGCACTGGACTGTCCTTCCCACAAAGGCACAGATATCCCTCCATACCCGGAAGATTTTGTGCATCCTCATTGTAGCCGAACAGAAGATAAATCTTGTGAGAAGCAGGCGAAGAAATTCATCCCCAAAAAACTGAAGAAAGGACTGGTCTGTAGAGAAGGCAAGGAAAGCTCAGTTTAGAAAGGCTTAAAAACCAAACCCTCACAAAAGGTTCAGCTGTGCATGCTGAGGCCATACCTATGGACCGGGAGTGGGTCAGCAGCTGGGCAATATCCCGGTTGATTTTCCTAAGGTAATCCTGACACTTCTCCCACAATCCTCTGCGCATGCTTGATAATCCAGAGACAAACAGGAATGCCATTAAAGGATTGTTCAGAAAGAGTGTGAAGAGGCTACCCCGCTGAGACTGATCTAAAAGGAAAAATAAATCAATAGACAAAGAGATACATTTGGCACATGAAACAGAAACGCTGTCCCTGCCACAGAATGAAGTCACTCACCCGCTAAATTCTGTAACAGAGGAGCTACTCCTCTGGGTTAGTTACACCTTCTCTCGTGCAGATCTGATCAGGGACTGGCAATAAAGCCTTGCTGGGGACGTGCATTAACACCAAGACAACTGTCTCTGCTCTCTTTCTGGGACTAACAAAGCTGCCCAAAGTGCTAAAACCATCATCCTGCACTGGGATGGCAATTTACTCGGTCTCTGTGTAGGAGAGGCTTTGCTCCTACCACTTGTTGGAGCTTATTGTAGAAATACCATCAGTGTTAGAATAAATTATTTACCATAAACAGTAAATAAACTTTATCATATTACTGCAGCGACTGTCAACCCGATTTACGGGTTACATAGTAGTGAAAAGGTGTCTTTTCCTGAGGAATCCAAGTTCTATTTGTTTGGGATAGACACATGATGCAACTGCAACTTCTTGGGAAATGCAATACTGCACATACCTTGTAATGCTTTTGGATATGCTGTTGGAGAAAGCAAGCACACCAATGGCTGTCCAAATAAGTTTGTGAAATTCTGTAACAGATAAGAATTTTGAAGTATTGATGGTCACTTTGCTTGCCTTGAATATTCAGCAGGGTACAAATCCTATTAATGACAGAGACACTAATGCCCCTGCACAGCTCAGCATTGGCAGTGAGCCTGACAAGGTCAATGAGATCACATAGAAGGAATATAACCCACTACATTTTAAAGGAATTACAATTCTCTCATTTCACTGGTACTGATGGCAGATACTCATTTCATGGAAATATTCAGTACTAATACGTTACTTGAAAAAAAATCATCTTCTGCAGTGAAAGCCATTGGCTTTCAGGTCAAAACAGCTCTCGCATCTTCCCTCAATACCAACTGAACTGTCCAGTCAAAGTTATTTCTTTCCCCTTTTCTTTCTAAATCTAATGAAACAGGAAAGCCCAGAGGAGAAGAGTTTTAAAAGAAGCTTCCTTTAAAACAAGTATGTCATAACCTTGATATCCGCTGTACTGAACCTCATTTTACAATACTCATTTCATGCCCCCTGCACCAGCACCTTAAATATTGCCTAAGTCCCATTGCACAAGGATTTCTCCAGAACCTCAAGCACCATCATTGTCCAGTTTCAGCAACATTTACCTGATAACAGTCCTACTGCATATCTGTCTGGTGGTAAATCATTATCACAAAGGGAAAAAATGCCAAAAATCATTTACATAACCTCATTAGCAGTCACCAGAACAGCTCTCTTAACCATGCAGGCTTGCAAAGCCATAAAAGATGTGATTGTGTCTGCACCCTCTCAGAGCACAGACTCAAACCATTGCATCCAGAGCACACGAGTGCCACACATACGTCTGCAGAGTACAGTCTTAAAACTGTCAGGTTATGACTGTAAGACATACAATACCAGAAGTATTTGCTTGTGTAGAATCCTCAAAAAGCTAGTTTTTTAATTCCTTCTGGCCTCTGTGTAATTCAAATGGAACTTTCCCTTTCAGGCAGTATATTTCAGTTAAATTAGTTTTACAGAATTAATTTAATCTAATCTGCTAAATACTAAAGACAGTAATCTAGTCTAATCAAAATAAAACATGTCCCATCTTTGGCAGAGTGCTGACTAGTCCTAAAAACCTTCTGAGTTCATTAGGAGCCCAAAGAAGATTGATAATGCTGGATACCGAGGTTTGGTCTCTAATGAAGAAACAAAGACTCTTCTCTTGAAGACAGTAACTCCAGGCCAGCCCAGGAATTGGTGAAACTGAACTACAAAGAAACATTTCCAACTCCAGGAGTCACCCCAGACCTGCTGGTTTCTACTGGACACACACTGGCAGGTTTCACCTTCTCCAGTAACACATAGTTTAATTCCATCTTGTATCGCTCAGTTACAGAGCAAAGCAGAGCTGCCACCAGGAGCAGCAACACTGCAGTTGAACAGTGCCAACAGCAAACCCAGGTCACTTGGGTATCTCAGGCAAGGTATCACTCCCTGCAGTATCTGGGAGCACTCTGGACTCTGTCCCAGCAGGTGAAGCCAACCCAGCCAGTGAGTCCTGCACAGGGGGGAAACTCCACGGCCTGACCCAGACGTGCCCTGTGGAAGGCAGGAGCTCCTGCCACCCACTACACCCACACCACAGAGCCAGGAGACACTGCCTGCCAGGCCACAGCTCCTGCCCAGACACTACTGCCTACCAGAGCCCAGGTGAACACCAGGATTCACTCACCACCACCCCGCTCCTGATTTCCCCAGGAAAGAGCTGTGGGATACATGGAACAAAGGAACCGGAGCATTTACAGCCATGGCTGGGAGCAGAGGGCCAAAGGTGCACCAGGAAAACCTGCCCTGCAGTCCAGGTGTTGACAGCAGCTCTGGATAAGGAATGCCCTACCTTTCAGTGCATGGATGACTCCAATAAGGATAATCCATACTTTGTTTCAAAACTGACTCTGTTTTTTTACTTCAGCACTCAAGTTTCCCACAGAAGCACTGCTGCTTTTGACAATGCATGTACATCTCTTTTGAAAAAAGAACTCCCCAAAAGAAGTCACTTCACATGTAGGCTTTGCTAAGCTGAGTATTTGTACCACATCACTGACAAAGGCCTTGCATTCTCACTGGCTGTAGGTTTGGGTTTGCTTTGGTTTGATTTTAAGACTTTGCATCTGACCACGATCCGTGATCCTAGAAAACCACAGCTACAGGATGATATTGATCTAAAAATATTATTTCATCCACATATGCAGTGGTAACCTTCAAGAACACACAGCCATCTATATTTAAATGGAAGTGTTAAAAAAAATTCACGGCTTTCAGTAGACATGCTCGATTTGCAGTTATCTTCCACTTTCAGCTAAATATACAGGGAGGAAGCTGTTCAAGTGCCGCTGATTTGACAAACTGGCAAGTCACTTCCTGGCAGGACTGACTTTCAGTCATCACCATTTCAGCCCTGCAGAGAGGGGGAGAGGACAGGGATGCGTGCAGGAGAGCAGGAACGGGCTGCAGAAGAAGATGTGTGAGCAGTTGCTGTTCCTGCCGGTACTGCCAGCAGTGACATTTAAATGTCAGGATAGCTCCTGTCCTATCAGGAAAGATCAGGGCAGCCATGTGGAAAAAAGGCAGTACTGATTTCAGCTTCTCACACAGTTGCACAGACCCTCTTTGTTCGTGCCAGCGCTCGAGCCTACAAAGCCCCTCCCAGCCCACCCAGGGACAGTCACACGCCAGCCCTGTCAGGTCACTGTGGGGACAAGGACCCCAGCAGGCACAGCACAGTGACAGGAGGAGTGTGCCAGGGCTAGGAAACACTGACACTGAGAGCTCTGCCATGTCCCTTCAGTGGAAAACAGAACAAGACACCTAAACCTGTCCCCACACACCTGCCTGCCTATGTTCAGGGGCAAGAGATGAGGAAGTGGAATGTCATTTCTGAAATGCTGAACATATTTCTTCTTAGATTCCTCACAGTTGTGCCCACACGGTTCTGATCTGGGCCAGAGCTCCTAGCAGCCACTTCTATAATCCTGTCCTGAAGTACTTCCAAAACTCCCATTTCTCTGCTCCTTCCACACAGGCAGAGCTGGACTGCTCTCCCCCAGCTGCTCTGTGTGCTGAACAGACAGCACGGTGGGTTTTGCACTACTGCAGGACAAGGAAAAGAACCTCAGTGGAGGTTACAGTTTTGCTTACTGTGTGCCCACAAAAATCAAAAGAAAAATTAATTCTCAAATTTAAATGTAATACAAAGAGAAAATTCTACTGTAAACACTTGACAGTTATTCTCACAAGAGCTGCAAATCTACGTGTGGAAATCCATCACCCCAAACAGCTTGAAGATGTCCACAGAACCCCAGTCTGTATCTGAATTAAGGATGAACAGGAATCCCTTACTCTCTTACAGAGTTGATCCACTTGACATCTTTCAGCAATTCTATTAAAGAGGAAGGGGGTAAAAAAAACAAACCAAAAAACCAAACCTGAGCCACACTTCTTCCCCTGAAACAAAACCAACCCTCCTGATGTTATACTGGAATGAACATCAGGAAAGAGCAAAGGAAAATAAATCCCTACCAAACGCTCATTTTCTCAGAAAGACAAGTAAATCATTCCAATTGTGTTTCCCTCCCTTTAAATGGAGAAGGGAATTTAAAAAAAAAAAGCAGATTTGCTTTGAAACCTAGTGTGGTGAACTTAAATGCAGTGATGTTTAAAAAGCCCTCTGAGATACATTACAGTCCAACAAAGCAAAGACCCAATGGAGAGGCCAGATTTGAGTGTCAGGCAGGAGCTCCCTGGCTCAGTACAGAACTATCCCAAATCACACTGACCACTTATTTAGTACCTCTCCTTGGCCAACAAATGCCTTTCAAACAAACAGCACAGACTGTGGACACCGAACAGGGCACAAGTTCCTCTGGCCACTAGACGTCCCTGTTCCTCCTCCGAAACACAGCTGTGGGTGTTCCCTTTCCTCACTGCACATAATGGAGCTATAAAAAGGAAGACAGAAGTGGCACTTTCCCCAGATATAGCACATTCTTATTACCCCATTCATGAATGAAATAAATGTGTAATGCTCTGCAGATTCAACTGGCCACTACGAGTGCAATGCCTGCGTCTGTATTACCCGAATTGCAGATTCCTGGAGGTGATTTAGCATGGAGCAATTCTACTGTAAGTCCAGAGCACCCTAGGAAGGAGGCTCAGTGTCCAAGCAAATACCACTCTACAGTAACACTGGATGCTAATTTGAGTCTTGTTACTTCCTTGGTTCAGACACAGACACCCTGTGTTTTATAAGATCAGGCTCAATGCTTTGACTCCTTTCTGTTGCTTAAAAGCAACTGAGTGTTGGATGACTGGAAAAAAGAAAAGCACATTAGTTATCTCCCTCCCCCATGCACACACACCAGATTTGTCTTTGGTATAAAACAAAAATAAACCTCCCACCAGAGACCTTGGAAATCTTGAACCTTTTTTCCCTCCAGGAGGATTTATTACTTTCCAATGAGCGGCTGTTCATGTGCTTCTCCTTCTTGTTCCTATTCATAGGGTCAGATCCTGACTAGCATGCACAACCTCAAAAGAAAAGAAAGACTGAATACAAACTGTTTAAAAAAATAGCCTGTTAAAAGTGTAAGCTAACTAGGGGTTGGCACTGTATCCTACCACACGAGGAGCTGCCTCCAAGGGTCTTACCTTATAGGCGACGCTGTTGGAAGAGTCCACGATGATGAACAGAGGCTTTCTGGTGAAAGGGTAGAGATCTCCAGGGTGGAGGCTGGAAAGAGAAAGGGACGCCTCACAGAGCACTAGAACTGCTCAGCCACACAGCTGCCCACATCCAGATAAAAACCAAGCAGATTCCCCGTGCCCCAGGCCTCAGATTCATCCTCAGGGAGTAACTGCACAGCTCACTTGGTATTCTCTATAATATGGGCTATGGGACTTGTTACTAGTTCAAGAGATGTTTATCTTCTTGAGAAACCATCCATCATTAATCTGAAGTTTGCCAGTAATTAAGAACTTACATTAGGTCACAGCAATACTTCTGAAGTGTTTAAATCATCATTTAAACATTCATTTCTAAGTGTTCGACTTCAAGCCAATCTCCACTATGATGTCCTGCACTGAGGAGTTTGAATTCCAGAGGCTTTGATGCCTTTTTCTCTATTGAAGACAAATTTTTCTGAACTCCCAGGTGTCGCACTGTGAGACTTACCAGTGCATCTCCTTGTACGACTGGTTTCGCTTGTGGATCGCGTCCCCATTGATAATGTCCCGGTTACTGTTTGTCAGAACACCCCCAAAGTCATATGGACCTACACAGGGGAAAAAGGAAGCTCAAATCAGCAGGGGCAACTCACCCCTGAGAGATTTAACAATTATATGGAAGGGAGAAAGCAACAACATATCTCAGAAAACTGAAGGAATCTGAACTACTGCACTTGTAAGGACGGGAGAGGGGAATGTGGAGCCTTCACTAACTACATATTCCATTTATACTCTCTTAGCAATTTCAGCATCTATCAAATAGAAGCAAGCAATGCAACTTCATAACTTCTAATTTAATTATTCATTATTTATCCACAAACATAATACAAAAGATCCAGATATTGGCTTTTGTTAAACTATAGAGCAAAAAGATTAAAACCCATTACACACTTGAAACAGGGAAATCAATACCTCTGTAAAATTACTGTATGAGTTTGCATATTCCAGATTCAGAATTTGATAAAAAAATAAAGCTAAATTAATAAAAAATAATGGATATATTATTATCATCTGCAGTTATAACACTGCAAAGGGGAGAAGAGAGAGCTCAGAGAATGACAAAAGGACAAAACAGATTTAACCAGATTTCAAATCTGCAGCAAAGGTTTGTGGTTTAAGATTTCAAAGTCAGAATTCACAATTTGCACATGCACACACCCTGAACATGTGTTCCCATGGTAAGCTAACAAAGTATTCTGCTAAGTTTGCACAACTGAGCTACCCCCTGACTGTCTGATGGAGAGCAAAGATGAAAGCAATGGCTACAAAAAATATCACATCCTACAAGATATCAAGATATATTTCTGCCATTGGTATGGATATGAAATGTCACTAACATTAGTAAAATAAAGTATTAGGGTTTCCTCATTCTGTTATACATTTGCAGAGCTGGTTGACCCCTATTTGGCCACCAAATGCAATTTTTTCAGGTTTGGATACAAGGCACCTTTCCATTTTAAGGGAAGCTTTGGGGATACAAAATCAGGAACAGAACAGACATTAATTTAGCACAGTTACAAACATCTCACGTGGTCTGCCAAACACAAGCTGCTTGCAGGCAATGGACAGTGCAACTTGCAGCTGCTCTCCCTTTTAATAAGGCAGAACTCTGGGCAGACCACACCACCTTATTAAAAGATTGCAGTTGTGATGGGATGCACTGAAGGAAAGCTGCACTCTGACTGTGCAGCTCCTCAGGTGACTGAGCCTGGATGCTTCTACCACAAGGTCTTAAGCTGAAACAACACATGCAGTGAGGTGGACATACCACAGGCCTAGGAGAACAAGCTTCAGTTAGAACCTACCACCAAGTTGCAGCAAGAAGTAAAATGTTAAAAGCATTTAAAAAAATCACTGCCACAATACAAAGCTGACAGGGATTTTTTTTCTTTTAGCATTTTGAGAGCTCTATAAATCATGCACCAGGGAGGACAAGGCATGCATCTTATAAAGGAATGCAAGTCTCAAACAGATGAGGTTTGTACAATATTTAGGATGTTAAAAAGGTATTTGGATTTTTTCTTGAATTACATAAACAGATCTTTGGACTGTGTTTACTTTAGCTAACCAGTTTTCAGCTTTTACATTGCAGCTGCATCCAAATATTCTGCTAGATTGCAAAGAACAGGAGGATGAGGTGAGGGGAATTGTCAAAATCATGAGAAGGGCTTGAATTGTCAGGTTAACGAGCGTGCAAATAGACCAGTCCCTGCAGCCGCTTCAGCCCTTTCACCCCCCATCTCCTGGTGCTGGGGATGGAAAGAATCACAAAGTGCCACTGAGCCATTTTATGAACTTTGCACTGATGCATCAACTGAGCCATGTGGTCTTCAAAATTAGGGAAGCTTTTAATACTTCAGATGCATCAAAAACTGGATGTGTCCTTTGAAAAGTTCTCAGGTTAATGCACATTAATTAAAACACAAAGAATTAATTATTGTTTGTGGAAAAAAAAAAGGCTATCTTACTAAGCAGACAGGAGAATCAAATTGACTTGTCTTTGAAAGGAGCTTTGTGACATCTTTCTTGGTCACTTGTCCTGGAACATAAAGAGAATTCAAGCCCTGTTCATGACAGGGAGCATTCCTTTATTGTACCTTCACTATCCGAACGACCTGATGGAAACACGCCCGTGGCAGACAGGTAAATCAGCAGCACACTGTTTGCAGGCAGCTCCTGAAACCCAGACAAGGAGAGTGGCAAGGGAAGAAAGGTCAAGTTTATTTTAATATTCAACCATCACCTTCATAAATACATTGTCATTATCACTGTGCTACTTCTGCCCACCAGGGCAGTACACAGACCAAAGGGTCACCCAGTGATGTGTCCATAACTTTTCTCCACACAGACCTCTAGGCTGATATCAGAGGTCCAAGCTGCACTGAAAAAGCATCTGCTTCCACATAGACTCTCTTACTATCTAGCCAGATCTGAGGCTTTCTAAGATATGGAAATTAAAAGCTGCCAAGATCCATACAGACCCTAACTCCCAAACAATTCACAAAGGAGGGTTTGTTTCCAAATACCCCAGAGTCTGCAACATCTGTCTTTTCCCCTTGGCCCTTCTCAGCTGGCCAACAAGCACAACACATCCAGGTTTCTGTACAGAACTCTAAAAGAAATCTATTTTCCACCTTTCTAATGGGCTGTTTGCATGAGGGAACAGATACTTTTAATTTCTGCCAAAGGCTTAGCATTCAGGCAGACAAAATTCTAAGAAGTAAGGATGCACTTCCTGCACCTCACCAGCTGTTCCTTGAGACAAACTGAAACTTGTTTCTTTATAGGATTCATGTTTTGGTTTTACTACTAAATCCTAAGTTGTGGACTTGTACAGTCAGCATTAAGCATAATGAGCCCAGGAACTTCGATAAATTAAAATAAGTGCAGCAACTGTACTAAAAAAAATCTACAAATGTATAGATGACTGGCTTGGAGGACAGCAGGGGGTAAGAAAATAAGACAGGCAGATAAAACTACAGCTTGTGCAGGATACAATTTGAATGGGATACAGGACTGGAGATTCAGCAGCTATACCGTGCTGAAGAGTAACCACTTCCTGAGGTACTTCCCTGACTTTGGATTATGTTTGGCATAACATGAAGTAAAAGAACACTTTTAAGATTTTTCTGTTCTCCAGATCAGTGCAGATCCACATTTTATTCAGTGTCACAAACTATCCTGGATATTTTTCTTACAAATAAATTCACCAATTTCACAAACCTTAAATGATGCTGCTAAAAATGTATATAGCTGGCTAAAAGTTGGTTTATAAAGGAGATATTTATGGGGGTTTTCCCGCCTTGCTGGTTTCTCTGTCGATTCCTGTTAAAAAAAACAAACAAAAACACTACTCAAAAAAACCCCAAAACCAGATATTATCAAAGCAGTTTCAAAACCCTCCAAATTTCTACTTATTAGAATGTTCATCTCCAACACATTTCCTACACAAATGGTCTGCCCACGGTGCATTTCCTGTTACACAGTAAAGCAAGATGCACAGCTTTGTAGTATGCCCCATTTAAACTTGTTACCTAAATCTTTCTTACTCTCTAAAGCATCGTCCAAGAAAAGAGTGACAAAAATCACTTTTCATCTCAAATAAATAAATTAAATTCTTCGTATTTCCTTATGCCCCCAGCTAAAATATTTTTATGCTTTCTCAGCAGGGGATATTAACTTTCAGATGACTTAGTAACCTGATGAGTCCAGGTTTGAGCTGCTCTTCACTAACTTTCAGTAGGTTACACCATCTTTACTAACCTGCTCTGCACAGTGACAATACTGAAGGAGTATACTATTTAAAATAAAACAAACGAAAGGCCCAGTTAAGATCTGTTGCCAGGTTTGTCACTGAAGTGGAACTTACCTGCATTCCAGGTTTGTTCATTTGTGATGCCAAGTTCATGGGTTCCCTCTCCAGCGCTTGCAGCATGCGGAACATGTCCACTGTCAACTCACTGAACTTCACCTGCAAGAGAGTCACACAGTTTATTCTGACAGATACACATTAAACAGCAGTTCTCTGGAATCATCCAGGTAAGAGACTCCACTGCATACCAGACAGACCATTCTCTCTTTCTCAGGGATCTGCCAGAGCCCTCTTTGAATCTCCAAAGAGCTGTGAAGGACTTCTGGAAAAGCTCATTGAGGATAAAGTCTATCTGGACAGGTCACTGCAGTGCAGACTCCTGCTTCCAAATTACAGACTTTTCCAGGCTGCTTACAAATCAAGTGCTGAAATGGCTATGGACTATAAATTCAGACAAGATGTGATAAAGATACACAAAGTGCAGTTTAGATGCAACTCTCTTGCTTACCTGAAAAAAAAAGCTCAGAGAGAAGTCATGAAGTTTGTACAACCTCACTATCATCATGTAAAAAAAAAAGACTTCAAATGTCTTTTGAAGACCTCTTCCTGTTGCCACCAGAGTTGCAACAAACCGGAGTATGTCACGTGAAAGCTTAAGTCAAGCTTTTTCAAGATATAGCTCAGAGGTCTCTCATGCTTGAATGTTAAGAACAATCCAATATATGAAAATCAATTGTATCAACGTAATTGACATGATGAATATAAGCAGTAAGAGGTCAGTACCACAGGTCTAATATCTCACATTTCATTTTTAGCTCCTATTTCTGAGAAGCTCTTCTTCTTGATGCCATTGCAAACATCACAATAAAAATATTTTAAAGTTCTCCTCTATTGGATTTGCTGTTGAATGATCAGAAAGGTTGCCAAGGGGGAACTCCCAAGATGTAAACCCAAGTCTCCAGAATTTCTTTTACCTGGTTGTTGCAGTTCCCAATAATGAGCGCATCTGCAAGAGCAAGCTGTCCCACTATCATCCCCTGCTCCAGCAACGGAGCTCCTGTCTCAGAAAGCCTGTTAGAGGTGATTACAATGGTGTTGTCATCATTTAAAACCATGACAGGGTCTGCCTAAAAAAAGCAACCAGAATAAATCAGGAATTCAGAAAACATCTGCAGTCAGAGAAAAGTCCAAAGGTCTTGTCACTTACAGAACATTTCATAACTGAGGCAGATTTTCTAAATTACTTTGCTGTACACATATTTGTATATTTGCATGCAGGCTACAGGGTAATGCCTTCTCCCACAGAATGGTAAAGTTCTTAGGGACTGCAAAAATACATGGTACAAGCACATGAAAGTACAGCAAATAGACAAGCATACTGCCTCCAATGACATGGACTCTGCTCCAGCTTCTCTATACCTGAGGAGTCAAATAGCATCAACAACCTTACAGATTCACACAGAATAAACTAAATATTCCTTCATTCAGAATAACTCTGCCCTATTTTAGTTTGCCTTCCTAGAAATGAATAGCAAAGGAGGTGAGTGAATGGTAATGCTGCCACCCCTTCTGGCAATACTGAAATGCTCGTGTTAAGGGCTGTGGCATTGAACACACCAGTGAGTAAATGGGGCAGGCACACTGTCCCTGCCCCTGCTTACCTCAGAGGTGGTGATACAGCACCACTTCGGTGAACAGGACAGAAAATCTTACTTTTGAATAAACAACTATAAGGAAATGGTGTTCTCACCTCAATAAATGCTGCCACTTCCTGAAGAACCAGGTTCCACTCCACCTGATCTTCAGTATTAAAACGGTGAGTGTAGTCCTCGATTTCATCTGACAGCTCCTGATGCAGACAGTTGAAAGACAGACACAGTCACTTCTTAAACCAACAGTCTAACAGGCAGGCAGTGACTTTACATTTGGTTAGCTGTGCTGGCCTTTAAGAATAACAAATAAATTCCTTGAGAACATATGCAGCACACTTCTGACTAACATGCCAGCCAAAACGCGCTCTTTCAGCAGACAGAATGCCAACGTTGCACTCAGTTCTGGCAATGCAAATTGTCTGTTAAGTAGGTCCAAATGCAAAGAATATCTGGAGTTAACTATCCCACTCACAAGCAGCTCTGTCACTGGTTATTACCATAAGCTACGGATGCCAAGGACTCAAATTTCAGCTTACAAGTGACTTTAAATACATTGAGAAAGGGAATGGTGTGGCTGTTTCAGCTGCTGCTAAGCTAAGCTAGCAGTTCAAGGGAGCTCAGACACAGAGACAGCAATGCAACCTACACAGAACTGTCAAGACCAGGAGCTGCTTGCAGCGAGGTTGTCAGAGGGGCTGGAAGCATATGCTGTGGGGAGCAGCTTGGTGTTCCTTTGCTGCAGCTACAGGGCACCTCCCCGTCTAGGCTGCAGCTATTGGAATATTTTTACTTCGTGTTCAAACAACGCTGTCAAATCATTTGAGCTTAAAGTGTCATTACTAAATGTCTGAATCACAGAAGATGTTTGCTATGTAGGATGTCAGATAGACTAGAAAAGTGAGGATCAGCAACCTCCCACCCCTCAGCACCTTTAACCTTATTTTAACGTACCTTTACAAGGTCCTTTACAACATCCATTTTGTTGAGCAGGAGACAAACCACTATAAACCTTGCATAGTAACGCAGCTTCTTAACCACCAATTCAGGCCTAAACACAACAATAAAAACATGACAGCCAAATTTGAGAATAAAATAGAACAGAGGTAGGTACTGGGGTGAAGGAGAGGAGGAGTTTGAGACCAGAGCAAAGCTGAACACTTGCAGATTAAGAGTTCTGACTGAATTCATATCGTGATCAATAGCTTCCTGGCTGCTTAGAGGTTTCTTTAAAATTGGGTACAGGGACATAAAAAATATCTAAGAAAGCCACAGCCTCCCCCTTCTCCACAGTCTCCTTCTGTGAGAAAGGCATGGGGGTCAGATATGGTTGGCTCTTCAAACCTTACAGTTTATAGCTCTTTGCTGCTTCCATGCACTATTCTAGTCTTGAAAAAACAAGGGCATCCATTCAGACATACCTGTCCTCTTTGTTGACTTGGGAGTAGTATGACCTCTGCCTAATTGCTGAGTAGAAGGAGAAAGCCTCATTGAGATAGCTGGTTTCTGAGGTGCGCAGGCTGCAGAGGAAGAATCAGATTAGCTCACTGCCTCAGGTGGAAATCCAAGCCAAACCCTCCCTTCCTGCCCCCTCAACCCGCTTGTGCATCCACAGCAAAACTCCTTCCTCAACTAACATCATATGAAAGCCAGACTCTCATTCTGGGAAGCCAGATTTCAGAGCTTGGATGCCATTTCAGATAACAATCAAAGCTGCCCACCTTGCACCCATATGGACAGGTGATGGGTTCATTGGAAAGTTTAAAGGAACACTAAGCTCCCAAACTTGTAAATCACACTTTTGCAGGACAGTCCAATGCAGCACGCATGGAAGACACTTTGGTGGCAGGAGATAAGTCCTCAGGCAGTATCAGTGTGAGCAGCAATGTGGTACCAGGCTCACAGGTACCTTTCCCTGCAGCCCCATGCAGTCCCCAGGGCCCTCATTCAGAAACGGGCATCGTGACTCAGCCAAATCACTGATTCCTCCTGACTGAGCATCCAGACATTTGGCAGGGAACTGCACTAACCCTGCATTCCCCACTGAATCCTCTTCTGTGCTTACTTACTAATAATGGTAATAGAGCTGCCCAATCTTGGAAGCAATTTCCCCAATTTGCCACCTCTTCAACCCATACCGATTGTCCAATACTTGTCTATTTTGCAAGAGAGAAAAGAAAGATTAAAAGGCATTCCCAAATTTCCCAGAACATCCCACCAGACAAGACAAAGAGCCATTGCAGGGCCAAATTCAGCTCTCGTTCCTGGTGCAGCATTCCCAGTAGCAGCCCCTACAGAGCCAACAGCACAGCACACGCCCCCCAGAACAAGGACCATTTATCTTGCATTAACTTGCGAGAACCAGACAAAAGTGTGATGCACAAAATACACACAACAAAAGGTCACAACTTCCCGGGAGAACGCTCAGACTGCGCAGCCAGAGGAAGGTGTGAAGGATCAGAGCCCACGCTGCAGCAAGAGGCTTCACACCATTCCAGATGGGTTCTGCTCTGCAGAATCCATCATCTCCTCAGTAAGACATTAAAGCACCACACATTCAGGTAGAGCAAAAGGGTTTGTTAAAAAAGCCACACTGAAAACTCTGCAACATTTTAATTCATTAGACTGTGAGCACTGCAGGAAGCGGCTGTTCCCTCCATGCTTGAACAGCACAGTGAAATCTCAATCTTAGCTGGGGCCCTGGGCATACCAGAGATTAAAGCTGTGCTGAAACCCACACAGCTCATCTGCCTACAACATTCCCTTACCGATGCTGCTGTTGGAACTTCCAGAGTTTGGTGTAAACATCAAACGTTCGCCCAAAATAGGACTGCCACTGCTTCTGCCCGTACTGAGGTAAATCTCTGCAAGAGACAGTGACAAAGGCAGAGTAAGGGAGCACATTCCAGTCAGCCCAATGTGACAGCAGCCTGTTTCTGTCCAAGTCAGAGCAGCTTTGCTCAGGATTGACTTGCAGTACTTTAGAATTCTGCCTGCACCCAAAACTACAAGAACCATGATTCCTGGAGTTTCTCAGAACCTGTTGTTCTGAGAATCATTCCAAATAGGAAACAACCATGTTCCTACATGCCACAGGGGATCTAAAACATCTTACAGTCTTGCTAAAAGAGAAGTAATTTTATGGTTATGTGTACAGAAAGCTAAATTGGACTCTTAAAATACCACAGTAAAAAAAACCCTCTCGCAAGAGCAAGCAGAATAATCTAATAGAAATTAGTTCATTTAGACTTGTGCATCATCATAATATTTCTTGCAACTCATTAAGGAAATAATCTTTTTTAAAAGGATGAGGCTGTTTGCTGTGTTTCAGAAACAGAGCTTATAACATCACCAACAAATCCACTGTCCAAATGTCACCAGGTCAGGCCAGCACATGGATGTTCACAGTGAACACTCGCCAGGTCACATTACATCACCACCACAATATCTGTCACCCTCTAACTCATAGTTAGTGACATGTCACAACATGAGACTTTCTGGTGTTTTCATACCAGTCTCCAGTGCTGTGAATTAGCCAACCCAGTTCAATTCTGCTTTCATATCTCCACTGGATTTCCACGCTGTGGTGTGTTTCCACTCCATAACTATGATGTATTCCTAAGGATTTTGGCTCTAAAGGTTTGTGCTCTCAATCCTCACAGAGGGTTGTCACCTGGGAGTGACTCGAATCTTGGAACAAGTGCAACAGAGGACACCAAACCCCTCAGTCTCACTGAGCACATCTTGCCTACAAATATACACTGAAGCTGATTCAAAGAAGGTGCACAACTCTACAAGTAGAAGTGGAATAGCTTTTCCAAGACAGCATAATCTTTCATTTGATTCAAGACTGATTTCTCCAGGGAATGCTCTCTCAAATCACTGTGCTGGTTAATGTACCACCTTCAGCACACGGGCACAGAAAAGCAGCACATTCCACTTCCAAGCCCGAAAGGTGGAGACTGAGGGAACCATCACCTTTAGGAAAACTTGCCATGTCCTCTGAAGGAGTCAGAGAAGCAGAGCAGTATACACGATTTCAGAGCATTCTGGCATGTTTCTGCTCATTGTAATTGCTTTAACAGCACCCAAGGTAGGAAAGGAAATTAATATTCCTTTGCTCGTCAGCCAACTGTACTTCCCACACAGCTTGAAGGGACCTAGTGTAGCTACTACATGTAAAATTAATCTGTTACCAGCCTGGAAAAACATTCCAGGACTTGGTGCTGGAAGATGCAGGAAGATGCCAAGGAAATTGTGCAAGATTTTACCAAATTTAAAAAAAAAAAATAAAATCCCCTCAAACTTGCAATTGGCTGCTCAACATCCTGGCACATACGCTGGTGTAGCCAAGGGTGAACAGGAATATAAACACATGGCTTCAGGGCACCAGCATCATCCAGATACAGCTTGATACAAACACATGCAAATCTACAGCGTTCACTGCAAGGAATGATGCACCACTTTGTCTTGTAATAGATGTAAACATTTTAGCTAAACAAAAGAAGTTAAGGCACTGTCCAACAAATGCCCAAGATACACTGGAGGCTTTGATATAGCAAGAGGTAGCTTTAATTTAAGTAGCACATCCACAGGATTCAATGTTAAAAAGCAAAAATAAAAAGTGAATACAAATACAGAACAACGCTAAAATGGATCATTTAAAAAAAATTATACAAATCAAAGTTCCCCAGCACTAACTTATAGAATGACTGAATTAGGAAGCTGACTCAAAAAACTCTACCAGTAGTAAATTGAGCTTTCCAGGCCAAGTTGCTCAGGACATTTGAGCAAAGGTCTAACATATGGGAACAAGAAAATGCCCTTCTCTCAGACATCGAGAAGTAGGTATGTGCAGCCATTAAGAAATAAGCAGGTACCTATGTTCTGATCATGCTCATGCATCTATCCCTCATCAGTCAGATAATTAATACACTCTCTATACCTCACCTGTCACCCCAATTCCATACCTTCCTCCTAGCCTAAACATTCTTGTAAAGCCCAGTCCAACTCACTGTGCTGTGTTAGATCCGAGTATCTGAAAATTAGTGTCATTTTAAGAAGCCTCTGTTAGCACAGTGTCCATGTGTTTGGCCACTGCTGTCCACGGCCGCTGCTGGGTGTCCACACGGATATTCCTCAAGCAGCGTGCTCGCCTAATTGCAGCTGGCATAGCTGCACAATACCACGGATTCCTCGGCTCCCCAGGGAACGGGAAAGATCTCCATGGAAACAGACAGTAGCACTTGTTCTTTTGATAGTATTCTGACATGGCTGTAATAAAACTTCATTTATGACAATACATTACCGTGGTTTCACCACAGCTTCTCGCAGACAGGAGCTGCCCTTCCTGCCATCCATTTACTGCTCTGTGTGCTCAACATCACACATCGCTCCCCTGTACCAAGAAATTTGGCTGTGAGAAAACAGATGCATAGGCAAAAGAGGACATATAGTGCAGGTTTTTTAATAGGACCAGAGGAGAAACACCTCAAAAGAACCCTAAAGCCTGGCTCGACTGCACAGTGGGTTATTAACACAGATCCTCTCACCGATGGAGACAGGGAACACATGACCCAGAAGCAATTATACACCCAACTTCAGAACTAAAGACCTATATTATGGGTCTTTATTTCACTGCTTCCAGATCTACAGAAGGACACCAGAACACTATGGAGAGACAAAGACAGCAGGCTCAGGTTCCTGCGGAATGTGCCCAGCCCGGGCTGCTGGTTCAGAACAGGCAGTGCTGGGGCACGCACTCAGGCTGGACACCACTGCAGGAGGGAGGAAGGGACAGCCAAAGGAATCCAGATGCAGAGGAGGGAGTGGAAATGTCTTGATTTAGGACAGTACAATAGCCTCCAACCAGTGGAAACCGTTTCCAGTTTTTTGGCTTTTAAGGCATTCTAAACAGGACATGAAGACTAAAACTCAGATGCTCTAAAAGGATGGGTTTCCCACATTGGGAAAACTGGTTCCCTTGCTGCACTGGAGTGGCTGGTGGATAAATTCCACAGACAGTCCAGAATTTTATCGAATTCTTGCTGTACTCCTTGTCTCAGCAAAGACCAGCACTACTTATGTGCTCATAATTAATTCTCTGTCAGTAGTTCATTTCAGCCATGCTGCTGGCAGAAGCCAGATAATACTGGCTGAAACCCAATTAAAGGTGCTGAGGTGTGCTTGGCCAGCACCACATGGAAGTTGTCACACAGGGACAACTTCCAGAGATGTAAAGAAGTTGAGAAAGTCCTGGAGACTCAGCAGTATGCTTCAAAGAGGGAGGTTACAATAACTGCAAGTTTAATATTCAAAGCTTTAAATACATTCACAGTTTTGACAGGTGATAAAAAAGACAATTTCCTTTTATGTTCATGGGCTTGTAGTAATTACAAGCTCCTGTTCCCAGAACTGAGCAGCAGCAGGATAACAGTGGTGTAGCTTCCCCACAGACTCTAATAACCCACAAAGGCACGACCACACCAGGGCACTCCCCATAACCTGCCACACCAGTGCAGTTGGTGGGAGAAGCCACTCCCTTCCCAGGACCACCGCAGGTACACCTGCAGCACTACCTGAGGCTAAGAGGCTCCTGTTGTTTCTAAAGCAGCAGCAGTGTGGAACAAAACTAAGGTTCCATACTTGCATCTTACTAGAAATCTACAAAATACCTGGTGCTACAAAATACACACTGTAACCCTGAATCCCACAATCATTAAGGTTGGAAAAGAGCTCTGAGATCATCGAGTCTGACCTGTGCCCGATGCCCACCCTGTCCCCCAGCCCAGAGCACTGCGTGCCACAGCCAGGCCTTCCTTGGACACCTGCAGGGATGGGGACTCCAAACCTCCCTGGGCAGCCCCTGCCAAGGCCTGACCACCCTTTCCAGGGAGAAATTCTTCCTGATGTCCAACTTGAACCTCCCCTGCCACAGCCTGAGGCCGTTCCCTCTCCTCCTGTCCCTTGTTCCCTGGGAGCAGAGCCCGACCCTCCCCGGCTCCCCCCTCCTGTCAGGGGGTTGCAGAGCCAGAAGGTCCCCCCTGAGCCTCCTTTTCTCTAGGCTGAGCCCTCCCAGCTCCCTCAGCTGCTCCTCTCTAAACCCTTCCCCAGCTCCGTTCCCGTCTCTGGACATGCTCCAGCACCTAAATGTCCTTCTTGAAGTGCAGTGAGGGGCCAGAACTGGACAAAGGACTCGAGGTGCCTCAGCAGTGCCCAGTACAGGGGATGATCACTTCACTAAAATGTGGTTGTGAAAAGTCTTCTAATTTCTTAAAATTTCAAGCTCCTCTGTGATACTGAACACACTTAAGCACTTTTTAACATTAAAAAGAAAATAAGACCAGTGACAGGACACCGTGAAAAACTGCTTCCTAACACCCTCCCTCTTTCCAGCCTTTTTCCAAGAAAAAAGCAAGTGGGAGTGGGGAAAGCAGAAAAGAGAGCCATTGGAACATACTTCACTAGCAGTTTTTTCTAACTTGTAGCCCAGGGTACAGATGCTAGAAAGACAATGTCCCCTCTGCACTACCGCAGGCATGGCCACCGGAGATGGTATCACCAGGAGCACGAGCACAAAGTACACTTTCGAGCAGCAACCTTGGCAGACCATCATATGTTTTCCTCAAATGCTGTATTTGGCATCTGTATTGGGAAGAGAGGAAGGAAATGCTACTGAAACAAAGACGTGGCAGGCTGAGCCCTTGCAATTTTTGGCAGCAGCAACAGCTAAGCAGCTGCCAACACAGCCATAGGCTCAGCTCCCTGTAGCTGAAGTGCCCAGAGGAGGTTTTGGGAAGGAAATCATTGCTCTCCTCTCCCTCTCCCGTCACTTCTTTTCCACAGAATGTGGTAGGGACAAGAGAATGGCATAAAACACAGCAGCAAAGGCCATCATCATCTTCAAAACAGAAGGTGGCAGAAATGTATCAGATGCATTTATTATGCTGGAGGGAAAAGCAAGCAACCAGACCAAGAATTGGGATGCTTGCCAAGTTACTTTCAGGTGAACTCCCCAGAGAACAAGCACTAACAGATGAGATACCTGAGAATTATAATGTTGCTTTATCCAGTCATTATGCCCTTGGCAATCACAGGTCTTAGAGGTGAAATGGTGATCAAGTTCAGTACAAGAAGAACATTAACTGTGCCAGGTTACAGTAAGGACAGAGGCAGGCTCCCATTCGAGAATGTTCTTATTTTCAGACAGCACAACTGCCTGCTGAAGGCCATCTCTCTATTTTTATTGGCCATATATCATCTAAAGGTATTTTCCATTTTCTTTTCATCTAGCTGGACAAGAAGCTTTCTTTTTGGCAAAGTACCACAGATATACACAGAAACTACATCTCTCATCTGGAAATCTGATACGAGCACTAACTCCTTCCATGCTCAGAGAAGAGACAGACAGGCTGGAGGTACTCTGCCACCTCTCTGATCTGAACTGAGCAACACATGAACTGGATTCATTTGTACTCTTCAGGGACTCAGGCCAAAATTTCAAGCAAGCTCTATCATGGAGACAGACAATGGTCTCGATGATCCTTGTGCATCCATTCCAACTCAGAATATTCTGTGATTCTGTGATGGAGCTTGCTTGAAATTTTGGCCTGAGTCACTGAAGAGTACAAAGGAATATCAGAAAGCCAATGTAATGTCATATATGGTCCTGGAAATCCTGGCCTCAAGATCTCAGTCCTTTTGCTTTAGACTCTCTTTCACGGGGTGCCGAATGCAATCACCAAGAACTCCCTGTCTCTACTGCCCATTCACCATTCAGATTTTGGAGCACAAACTGTTTGTTTTGGATTTGGTAATCAACTCCTAAAGCACATGAAAGGATTATCAATAGCGGGGGGCGGAGGAATTAAAAACATCTTTGCTAACCATCTGTGTTTGACTAACAGCAAGCTATATGGGCCCAAACATACAGGATTACTCAGAGACCAGTAAGAGGCTGCACTGCCAACCAGATATGAGCTCAAACTCATGTTGCTTAAGAGACTCTACAGTAAAGCTTAGAAATAAACCAGCTCCCGAATACATAATGTTTAACTCAGCATATATTGACAAAACAGGACTGTCTACATCACTGTCCAAACCTGAATGACTTTCCTTGAACTCCCTTTACTCTTTTTTGCCTGCAGACAAACCAGCCAGACTTTCTAGTTGTTGTGAGAAATCCTTTGTAGATAAATGTAGCTTTTACCTTTCTCCACAGTTCAGTTTAAGCATTTCTTTCACCAGACACATACAGGGTATGGTTTGAATGTTTCTGTCTATCACGTCCTAGATTTCTTTCCAAAAAATACTCCATCTTCTCCTTTCCTCCCACCTAAGCCAATCCTCCTCATCCCTTTTTTCTTGGCACAGAGACTGTGGTGGTTTGGACTTGCATGCTGTTGATTGTACACAGCCACACCTAGTCCTTAATTGTGCACTTCATACACAACATTTCAGTACAAATTCTATCCATTTCAGGGAATTTCCAACTCCTAGTTTACTATTAACTGGAACCTCTACTCCTACAGACATTCTTACGCATGGTCCCAAACTACCCATACATAGATGCATTGTTCTCTCCCAAACAGACTTACTGGGTTTGAGTTCAAAATGTTCATTGCACAACTGACTTCAGCATCACATACTGAAGTGTGTGCTCCAAGGCTCTTCTGAAAGAATACTGTCAAAGATGCACTAACCTTAAGCCATTGAAGAGCTGTTTAGACTTATCCAATAAGTAGCAAAAGTCTGTCACTGTTTTCCTCTCTGCTTGAGGAATATCATCTTCAGCTCCTCCTGATGACATGATTTCTTTTAGAGCAAACTCAATCCTATGAAGAAGAAAATATCCATGTTACTCAAAAATCAAGGGCTGCTGTGAACTCATCCAGATGAGATGCACGTTCAGTTCCATGGGGATGTAACACAGAGCATGCAGTTCTCCCACAGGTTTCTCTTCTCAAGACTCATTAAAAATAATGGCTGAGAATCAAAGCAGGGGAGTAATTATTGCACAATGCACTAGTTAACAGAGCAAAATTAAAAATAACAGTGGTACAAGAGTCATAAAATAAAATAACTCTGAGGACCTTTTTCACAAACACAAAATTGCCAACGAAAGGACTGTAGCACAAACAGCACTTGGGTTTCACACTTGGACAAAGAAATCCTCTCCAAATTTGCCTTCTGCAGAGGTGTTTATCCTGCACCCACATTTAGAGAGACCAATCTCAGTTCTCTTATCATTTCATTTTCTTCTGTAACTGCTGAAAACTGTAGCTCACTAGTTCCTATTGCTAAAACATAGCAAACATTTAGACAGAATGCTAAAAAATGCCCTCTCCTTCCTCAAGACTGTTTCATTCCATGGCTTGCACTGCCCACAATTATACCTGCAGATATATTTATACTGTTCATATGAGCAAAACATCATATCATCTGAACAAAAAACTAAGATATAATGTAGATAATCCTAGTACTGAGTAAGTAAGGAAATAGGAAAGCCTATAGAGGCAGAGTGGTGGTTAAAATCTTACTCCAAACATACAGATATCAAATTACCCTTTTGAGCATCCAAAGATGAGCTACAGATTTCACAGCAGCAGCAACAAAACATCTCCTCTGGAAATGGCTGCCAGGTCTTCAGCTCTTCTGTGCTCAGGATTTTAGTGCAAGATAAACACACCTCTAAGTGGGCACATGCAAGAGCTTTTACTTTCAGCAGCTTCTCTAGCGGTTCTAGTGGGTGCTTTTTTAAGCAACAAGTTTCCCTTTGCGCAGCAACTCAGTTTGGATACTAGTTCCACAAATAATTACCTACATATCCCAACTGAAGCCAGGAAATGGCAAAGCTAACTCCTTCCACCCATTGGGAAGTACCCAATTTCAGCAATTGTCACAAAAAACCTTCACAATAATCAAAGAGGCTTCAGAAATACTTCCCTGAACAAACACTTCATGACTACCAAAGAGAGGAGAAATTGGTAGTTTCCCCCCAGCGTTTGGGTCAAATTAGGGAGCCATCCTGCCAACCAAGCAGTCCCCTGATTTCCCAGTTTGGACAAGATGCAGCACCCATCCATTTGTTTTTACACACCCACGTGACAGCCAAAGCACCAGGGCAAGGCCAGGGGGACACTGCACGAACCACTTGTCGAGGAGCTCCAGAAAAAGGTGGGAAGTATCTCTGTATTGTCAGGTAACTGCAATATGGGTGGCAGAGTCCAAAACATACCACCCAGATGTCACAAGCTTTGGCATGAGCCAGGCAAGCAGGACATGAACATTGCAAACCACGAGCCTGTGCCCAAAACCTGCGAACACCCACATTCACACAGCACGGAACAAACACCGAGTACTCAAAGCACCAACGAATGAGATGGAAGTGAACAGCGAGACCTAAAAACCAGAGGTCAGAAGTAGCCAGGAGGTGATTCAGGAATTCCAGGAAGAGGACAATACCCCGGGACCTGTGTGCTCCTCAGCAAGGGTGACCTAAATCCTGCGGCGAGGCCGTGGGTTCTGCGCACTCCGCGTGGTAATCCAGGCACTCCAGAGCAGCTTCAGACACATTTGCAAAAATTCAGGAGCTTGCTTAAATGGCAAAGCATGTTTCATACAGTCTGCGTGTCTGTCCTTTAATCTCATGGCAAAGCAGATTTTATTTTATGTTACCCTTAAGTTATACTCCCCAACCACTGCCAACACTGGCCAACAGAACGAGTGTTAGCCCTGACACAAGCAAGTAAAACCAACTTGGGTTTTGTCTGTTTTTTTAAACCAAGCAGTTCACACGTGGAGGAGGTCCACCAGACCCACTGTGAAGAGGCCATTTATACAATCAACAGAAGACACACTAGAAAATCCATAGCCTGCAAATCTGAAAAGTATCAGAAGGCAGGAAAAATAGGCAAAACTGGCTTTTCCAGCTGACAGAGAAAGAAAATAAAATTAGGTATCTCATGCACTGGTTTTGGCTTATCATGCTCCGGAGGGGGTGGTATTTGGTGGTGTACAAAGGAAAGAGCCACTATCAGGAGCAGCTCGGGAGAGGAGGAGGTGCTCCCTGCACTAAGGACTGTGTTGTAATGCAGCAGCAGTACAGACAGGAGGGAGAATTATTATTAGAACAGCAAGTGGGCACAGCAAAGGGAGGAATATAGCTCCTGACATCGCCCTTTCCTCAGGGACTGCCCAGCTCCAAATGAACAATATAAATAAAATGCAGCCAGGAGTACAACCACGTGGACCTCTCCTTCCCTTTGACACTTGAAGTTATCCCCACGGATCTGTGCTCCTTGTCTGCAAAAGAGACAGTTCTCCCAGTTCTGACAGCCCAGCTATACCAGGAATATCACCTACTTTATTTTTTCTTCTGTGTTTGAAGCTTTTTGCTTTTTTCATGCAAAAGAAACTGTTCAGCTGTTTTGCATGACAATTTTTCTTAAGTAGCACATGTTAAAAAAAAATTATCTCCAGAGTCTGCAAAAGGAAACACTGAAATATTGGTTTAAAAGACTTAAAATAAGTCAGAAAATGGTGAATTCCAGCAGAACTTATTATTCTCTCAAAGATTTTAACAACTCCTCAGGCCGTACAAGGCAGAAAAATTGTGCTGTCCAAGCCCCACATTTGGCATGCCAGGTTCTTCCAACGCACTCTCAGAACACAAGATTCTAGGTTTGCTAAGTGCAGTACATTAATACATTTTACAAATTCACCCCGTTGCAGCACCCCGGGTAGCAGAGCTTTAGAGACATCCCAGAGGATGGCACGACTGTCCAAGGCAGCTGGAGCCGAAGGGCAGCGGGAGGAGGGCATGGGACAGGACGGAGGTTTCATGGTGCTGGCCAATATTTTTAAAGTCAGATGTCACTTACATCACACACTCTCCACTTCCCTGTGGTTTGCCGTCTTTTGGCTAAGGTTTTCCAGGCTTAGCTGGAAGGGAAAAAGTGCTGAAGTCAATGGTATGCACTCCCCACTGGCCCTACCCCAGGACTCAGGCCTGCAAAGCAAGGCAGGCTTTGTGAGCGGTGAAGGAACGCTCTGGTTCAGGAAAATCAAGCTGACAATGCAAGTCCAGCATGGATAGTTAAATAAGTGTATTACAGGCACATCCTCTTAGATTTATTACAGAGCCAGGATCACTGTAACCCACCACTGAGCTGCCTGGTAGAAGAGGGGGGTCATAACTTCACACCTGACACGTACAAGCAAATAAAACCTTGGGGCACTGAGGATTCGGTGTGACTGTAGAGCACAGTGCTCGGGCAGATGTCAGCAGGGTACAAGCTCTAGATAAAAGTGAAGACAGACAGAACCAGGAGCAGTTTTCCAGAGCTGCACAGCAGAGTTGGCTGCACATGGCATCTTGACCTCTTGACAGAGCACTTGTACAATTCACCTGCCTCTTTAAGCCATTACTTCTGCTCAGCTGTGAGATCTTGACTGGTTTTCAAATGCTTCCCACTCCTCACTTAGAGGTGCAAGTGGTACTAAAAACCAAAACCAAACACACTTTGTACATCTTGTTGATACAGGATTCTCCCCAAACTAAGAACTGCTCTCCACAGAAACCAATGGTGGAAAACACGTTCCAGTCTATCAGGATTTTAAAGCTGTCAAACCTCGAGTCAGAGACCAGCTCTTTTTCCACTTTTCATCCTGACACATCTCCCACAGCATCACTGCCAAAAGGGGACGTGATACAAAGCCAGACACCCAGCTGGTATCTATTTCTTATCCGCAAATTAACAACAGATAAAATGAAGCTCTTCATCACTGATACCCAAAGCCTGGAACCATCACTTCTCAAATCTCTTCCAAAAACCAGCTGATCTTACTGTCATCAAGCAGGATATATACCTTGGCTCTCTATTTGCCTCTCCTTTTCTTCTACAGACTGGCACACTTGTCTCATGTTTTCTTTCAAAGCTATACTGCACGTTTTGGGAAAACCATCTGTGTGTTTCCATGTGATCTGCTCAGAGTGCTAGTCCTGACAGAGCCTCAGACAACACAAAATTCATTAGAGCCCAAATTCACTCCTCTCGTCAGAATACCTAATTCTCCATTGAGAGCCACTGTCCTGAAGTTCCTGAGACACCACTCAGTTCTACCCAAGAAAGACCGAGATAAATAAATAGCAATTCCTCCAGACACGCACCAACAACCTGGAGTCAGGCCTCCAGAGGAAATGGCAATGAGCAGTTATACATCAAACCATTTTTTCATAAAATACATGGCAGGGGAAAAGGATTTATTATTTTAAGGTTTTTAGTAAAATTTGGAACCGAACATGGACATTCCTCATCCCAAACACTGTTCACCTCGGGGCATGTCTGCACTGCAGTGGCTGCAGCTCTCCCAGATGCACCCAGCTCCTTTTCCAGCAGCTTGCTGGATGCTGCAGGAAGCATCTGGGAGCAGGCTGAGCCCACACCTGGGCTCTGGCAGGGCTCAGTCCCAGGGGACAGCGATGCCCAGGGCGAGCTCAGAGAACAAGCAGTGTGTTTGTGTCCCAGCTCTGCTCACTGCTCTGGGGCACACATGGAGTGCACAAGGAAAAGGGCTTATACAAGTTACACACATTTTATTACTGCAAACCGAAAGTTTGCCACTTTCACATGAAGATGTATTTCCTTCCTTAGCACATCGAAGATGAGAAGATCTGCAAACACTGTCTCAGTGCTTTGTCTACAGAATCAGGCTTTGCATTTGTTTCACATGTCTTATTTAAAAGTCCCTTTATTGCTTAAAGCACACCTGTCTGTAACCAGAACTGCAGCTTTGGCATCTTTTTTCCCAGAGAAACACAGAGGTGCTCATTAACATCACACCATGGAAACCGTGTAGTCCCTTCCTGCCTCCTACATTGAGATCATGGAAGCCACACCTCACCAGCAGACTCTGAATTCACTCTGGGCAGACTCACTTTGAATACAAGAGACATGATCTCACCACGGGATGCACGTGGCCTTCTTCAATCACCTTCAGAACACAAAACTTTTGCTTCTCTTCTTTATGTTTCTGCCACTGGTAATTTGTTCCACTTTTGTCCATTCTGCACCCTCTGTGATCCCTTTTTCACTGCAGTTCACGACCTTTTGTGTATAGGATGAACAAAGGGCACAGGCTAAAAATGTCATCACAGTTGGGCCCCTGCTCTTCTACTGACTTCACCAGTTCGCTACTAAAAATGGGCTCAAGCTCAAAGTCAGACCGAGGCAGAATTTCTGGGTCATCGGAGCCCAGGAATCTCCAAAAGATGGTGCAGAAGCAATGTGGAAGAGGATGCAAGTATTTCCTTTTATCCAAATTCAAATCATGAATCTGTCGTGGTGCCTGCATACCACCTACATGGTGCTTAGCAGTCATTTGCATTGTATGAAAGAGCAAGAGAAAAAAGAACATCAGGCTGGCCCACTCTTGGCAGGGTGGGAGGGTAGAAGGGAGACAGAAAAACACCATCAGCTGTGGCAGTGAGCTGTGTGTATTTACATTTCACAGGCTGAACTATTTAGTGGTTTATTTACACACAATGTTCTCGAAGCAGCTAAAATGCCAGTTTCGTTTTATCTTGATTTTGTGGTAATGCACATAAGCCACAGAACCATAGGGAGAGTCTGCAAATGAGAGATGAACCTCGTACAGCTGGAAAAGCACGTAAGCCACTGTGAGAAGGGAGAGAGATTTTGGGAGCACAGGCACAAGCAGGTCTGAAATGCATTAGTTATGACAAGAGACCAAAATACAACCCTGGGACTCAAAAGCAAGGATCCAGTCACAGTGCAACAGCTTGTGCTGCAGGGATCACACATCCCAGGGTAGCCCTCACAGCCAAGCCAACCCACGGCACGGCACCGCAGGCCTCGGGTCTCTCCGGCTGCCCCTCCATGTTGAAGTGAGGAGGGAATTGCAGTCAGCTCCATTTTATGCACATTTGGTGGCAAGACGCCAACACAACTGTTGACTGAGCCAAATCTGGGCCCCCTTGAACTAAGCCATCACCCAGAGCAGGGCGGAAAAGCACATGCCTCTCGCCTCCCGAGCAGCCAAGTTCCTGAAAAGCATCCCAGTTGCAAGAAAGATTTTCTTCTTTCTTTCCTCCAACGACTGATGTTTTAACTCTTTGATTCACTATCAAAGAATTTAATTCATTAATTCAAAATGGAACAGCAAACATCAAGCTGCATTGAACAGCAACGTGACGGAGAGGCTCCTTTCCAGCGAGCCAGTGATTTACTGGCTGGCCCAGATGGAGCTGAGGCCAGTGCCCGATCTGGAGGGCAGCTCTCGCCACACTCTGCAGCCTGTTCCCATCCTTGGCCAAGGTGCCAATGGCTGCCTTCCAACTGGAATCGTACTCCGACAAAGGAGAACGCAGGACAAGCTTGGGAAAGCCTTCTGATCCCTTCAGTTCACTTCTTCCCTCCAAACCAGTGTATGGCAGGAGCTGCCAGCAAGGTTAGGAATTGCATGGAGAGTATCATCACTCTGGGAATTCAGCCTCCTGAGCAGGGACTGCTGCTGGACCGTGCCTCTGCCTCACAGCAGAGAAATCCCTCTGCTGACTTCTGCTTTAATTATATTTAAAAAATTCGGCTTCCAGTCTGTGTTCCATTATATTAATAGCAATAATTAAAAATACTTCAAACAACGAGTCCTCTAAACCTGCAGTTCCATCCAGGCTTTCTGGCACCACACACTTCCTTTCCTGACTGACATCCTCGGGGATCCAGATTGATGGTTACTCTGTTCCATCCCTGCTGCAGGGCTGTGCTGCGTTCTCTCAGCACATGTAAACTGCAAGGTAATATTTGTGTTGGCAACTTCCTTACATACTTTACAGAACCAGACCTCAATTTGACCCTCTGTGCAGCTCCCACATACAATTTGGTCCACTCCTTTGAACTGTTTCCTCCTGCTGCAACACATACCCCATTCCATACCTCTGTTTCCAGCCTGTTTAAAAACTACATATCCAGAACAGAGCTTTTGTGCCAAAGGAGAGCAGGTCAGCCACAAAAGCCAAGCCTGCAGAATGTTCTTATGCAAGGACACCAAGGAAAATTCCTTCTACAAGGATTGCTCCAACAGAACACTTTTATGAAAAAATGAGGACTGCAAAAAGTTCTGTGAAAAAAGCCATCAACACCCAGGTTTTTCTGGTCAGACTCCAAGAGCTGTAGTGTGCTTTGGAGGCTGGCAGGGGGGTATTGGAGGTTTTTTGTTTAAAATCAGTTACATTTCAGCTCTTTAGGCGGTAAGACCACCTCAGAACAGACCTTCACACCAGAGCTCTTCCTTGCCCAAAGCACACCACGCAGAATAAAAGATAAGCCAACAAAGTAACGTGTCCAGATGATCCAATGAATTCCCATTATCCATCTGTGCCGCAGCAGATCATCAACAACTCCATTTAAAGCCAACAGAGCTAAACCAGAATAAAAGTGATGCAAGGAGAGGGGAGATGTGAGTGGCACACGGCAGAGAGGCAGCTGCAGTGCGAGCAGGGGACTGTGCAGCCGCAGCATGTGACAGGAACAGCACTGGCAGCAGCGAGGGAGAACTGCAACCCCAGCTCCCACCTCCCCAAATCTGTGCTCCCAGTGCAACACTGTGGACACCACCATCTGATTTCAATGCAGAACTGACTCAGGTTAGAAGCTTCTCGATGTTCTGAATGGTTACACTCCATTTTTATTACTTGCCTCCATGAAATAAAACAGGGACACAGAAATTAATAACAATACAGGCAATGTGTTCCTCCCACTGGAAAGCACTTTCAGCATCTTTATCACTTGTAGATCAAATTTCTCAACAGAGCATGATGAGCACAGAACACAGTATCATTCTTACACATAGAGCTAAGTCCAACTAGACATCTTTGCGTTAAAATCCCCCATGTTTGTAAGGAACCTGGATTGCCAATTGAATTTTGATGCTGCACTATACTTTTATTTCAAAATAAAACAATGATCACAATCTCCTTTGCAGCACAATAAAATACTTCTTCTCTCCATACAGCTTCCATGAATGGTTTTTCTATTCCCGCAGTAAAAAACCTGGCCATCACATGTGTGTGCACTGGCTGTAGTGCTTTGGCAGCTCAGAATTACGCTCTGCTCCTAGTGAAGTGACTGTTTCTTTCAATCAACATAAATTGTGGTCCAGTTTATCCAAACATCTTAAAAGAGACTGACTTTGAAAACGAAGGATCTTTTCTCTACACACACGACCGACAGTCAGGCTCCTGAATTGCTCCCTTGACAGCCTGGGCTGGGGACGGCACAACCGCCACGCCACGGGTTCAGGTGAGGTGAGAGACACTGGGCAGGGACTGCACTGCAAACTCCCACAGCAACATCCACACCAGGATGATCTTCCCCGACTTCCAAAGGCTGCTACCCGCCCGGCAGCCCTGCTGCTCGCAGGAGCAGTGGGAAACACACACATGCTGGGAGACACACTCACATTTTAGTCATCATATGGTCCCACAGCGCTGCTTTGCATTAGCTTGGACAAGATGCCATGAATTACAGGTTGTGTTTGCACAGCTTGTGCAAAATCTACAGATTTTTTACATTAAGGGACCCATTTTGCAGGTTGGAGGACTAGAATTGCTTAGCCCAGATGCAGCTTAGGTGTGGAAGCTTGGAGCCTGGTTATTAAATGAAAAAAGAGCAATTCAGACTTCGACAATAACAGGTCCTGTTCTGTGGTGGGAGATCGGACCCAGAGCTGCAAACATGCAGTCTTGATCCTGAACATTTTACCTGCGACAGCCTTTGGTTATGGACGTTTTAACAGGGCAAGAAATTTGGGGGGATGACACAACATAACAACCATCCAGGTTCTGTCCCCAAGGGCATCTCACGTCACCTATTGTCCACAGCGTTTCTCCGTACAAAAAAAGAATTTGGTGGAGAGGGACCTGCCGCAATAAAAGTTTAAAATCAGAACAAACCCCCGATGACTCCATCAAACCTGCAATTTGGGTATCCAGCACTGCACGGACTGCCCCTGTAAAATCCTGCACCGTTCCGTCCCACCGGATTCGTTTGCAGACGCTGGATGCAGGTACCTGTCACAGGCAGGCTCAACAGCTCCAGCCTCGCCCGGAGCGAGCGGGAGGGGAGCGCGGGGAACGCAGAAGTTAATAAAGAGGGGGTCGTTCGGGGAATTATTTCAGCTACGCCGCCAATCCGGGCCTAAGCATTAGACGTGTCACATCGCGTTCCTGCTCTCCGTTAGCGGCGGAGGCAGCGGGGGCGCACGGCCCCGCGCAGCCCCCGGGCCCCGCAGCCCCTGCCCCGCACCGCGGCACCGGGCGCGGACCCGCCGGGGATGCTCCGCGCAGCCCCGCCCGCACCTGCCGCCTTACCTGCGCTCCCGCTCGCGGCGGGGCTGCTCCGCCGGGCCCGGGACTCTGCGGGGGCGACACCGCGGTGAGGGGGCGCCGCCGCTAGGCCTGCCCCGAGGCGCCCGCAGCCGCCGCCGCTACCGCCCGCCCCCGCCGCCGCCGCCCCGCCCGCGCCCCGCGCCCGCCTGTGCCGCCGCTCCGCCCCCCGCACCTGGAGGCCGCGCCGGAGCGGGGCAGGCGCTGCCGGGCGGCCCCGCTCACCGTCCGCCCCCGCGGCTGCCGCTGCCGGTGCCGGTGCGGGCGCGGCCGCAGCGCCGCCGCCGCCGAGGCTCGGGGAGCGCGGCTGCCGCCTCACGCCGGTCCGCGCCGGCCGGCCCCGCCCCCGCGCGCGCCAATTGGCCGAGCGCCCGGGCTGGCGGTGAGCCGGTCCTCTGATTGGCCACGCCCGCCGTCAATCGCGAGGCCTCGCCCTCCCGCGCGCGGCCGGTGAGGTGCGGCGGCTGCCTGGAAACGGCGGCGACACCGCGGGCACCGGCACCGGCTGTCCGTCCGTGTGTGTCTGTGTGTGTGTGTGCTGCGCGGCTGCCTGCGCGCACGGCCTTGCTCCTGCCCCGCTCCGTCGCGGCGACCGCTCCCGCCCCGCCCGCCGTCACGTCCCCACCGCTGCCGGTGTGAGAGTGCCGCACCTCGGCCAGCGCAGGAACACCGGCTGCGCTCCGCCAGGGCTCCGGCGGCCGGGAGAGGGCGGCGGCGGCGGCAGCTGCAGCTCGGGGCCGGCTCGGCGCCGCTCCCGCGGGGCCGCAGCGCCCGGGGCCGCCGCCGCCTCCCGCGCTCGCTGTCAGCGCCTCGGCCGGTTCCACCGCGCGGCCCGCGGGGGGAACGCGGCGCGCGGGCTGCTCCCCCCGCCCGGCCGCGCCTTGGTACGGCCCGGCCGCGGCACCGCCCCTGTCCCTGCGCGGCTTCCGTCCTTCCGGCCCGCGCCGCCCGCCGCCGTCATGGTGAGAGAGCCGGGAGCGGGATCCACCGGGAATCCACCGGCATCCGCCGGGAACGGGGAACGGGAACGGGGAGCGGGCATCTACCGGGAATCCACTGGGAACGGGGGCCGGGAACGGGGATCCACCGGCATCCGCCGGGAACGGGGAACGGGAATGGCGGACTACCGGGAACCGGCACCGCGGATCTGCCCGCATCCCACTGGGAACAGGGTCCGGCAGCCCGGCCCATCCCGCCGGGGCGGCCGGGGGCACTGACGGCTTTTCCCGCAGGCCAAGATCAAGGCCCGAGACCTGCGCGGGAAGAAGAAGGAGGAGCTGCTGAAGCAGTTGGACGATCTGAAGGTGGAGCTGTCGCAGCTGCGCGTGGCCAAAGTGACTGGCGGGGCCGCGTCCAAGCTCTCCAAGATGTGAGTGGGCCGGGGGACACCGGGCTGAGCCGGGTCTGGGAGCTGTCACAGCCCGTGTGCTGGGAAGGTACAAACGGCGAGCAAGAGGAGCGGATCTGTAGGGCTGGAAGCCGATCCGTCTCTGCTCGGAGGGGGTGCAGCGGGGGTGAGCCGGGAGGTGTTGGTGTTCGCTGTAACTGGTGCGGGGCAGGTTGGCGGTCAGAGCACACACGGTTCCTGTGCACTAGGCTGATCCATGTCCTCAGACGTGACTCTGTCCCTCCTGCAGCCGCGTGGTGCGTAAATCTATCGCCAGAGTGTTGACTGTCATCAACCAGACCCAGAAGGAGAACTTGAGGAAGTTCTACAAGGTGGGGACAAACACTTTCTACACTGGCCTTTTCTCTCTTATTGTTCTCAGTTGCAGTTTGTGGAAGGAACTGGTTTTGTAGGTTGCTACTTAAGATTAAAACTCAGTGAGAAACGCTCATTTATGTTCAGTTTTAAAGTTCTCTCATGATGGTTCCTTTTTAAGTATTATTGCAAGAATTCTGTAAGTTGTGTGTGAGTCTGCTTTTGCCAGGAGAGTCTCCTGGCAGCATTCCTTTGGAGTGTGATGAGCTTCCTGGGAGGTGCACTTTGCACAAATGCAGGTACTCTTTTAATCTAAATTTAAATTCCTGTTTCAGGTGGCCAAGGAGCTTTTTCACTCAAGAAGTTCTTAGAATATTATTTCTTGGGGTTTAAATGACATCAAATAGGGCAGGAAAAAAAAAGAACTTTCCAAGAGGTGTTGGGTAACTGGGACTTAAGATGAAGCATTGCTTGAACTTGAGTCAAAGCTGGTACAACTGCTGCAAAAGTTATAATCAGCTCTTGTTTCCCGGCAGAGAGAAGGTCTCTCAAACCTCCAGACTGGGATGATGGTGCCAAGGGAAAGAGGTTTAAACAGTGGTGCTGATGCTCGGGCAGGAGCTCGGCTCTGAGAGCAGTGTCTGAACTTGACTGTTGTGTGTCTTTGCAAACAGGGCAAGAAGTACAAACCCCTGGACCTGCGGCCCAAGAAGACCCGGGCCATGCGGCGCCGGCTCAACAAGCACGAGGAGAACCTCAAGACCAAGAAGCAGCAGCGGAAGGAACGTCTGTACCCGGCCCGGAAATACGCAATCAAGGCATAGCCGGGGCTGGGGGCTCATTAAATGGAGTTTGCTTTGCAAGTGTCACTGGTGGTTATTTTGGTACTGGTGGGTAAAGAAGTCATCAGCTTTGTGGAGGGACATGGGAGGATTCACAGGATGTGTGTTTGACTGCTACAAAATACAGAGCTGGCAGTTTATTTTCCTCTTTGTGGAGCAGGCAGTGGGTACAGATCTGTGAGGTTCGTTCAACTCGGCATGTAAAAATAATTTAATCTGAGATTGATTTAGAGTGGAAGCTTTTCACAGATGTTTGCAGTCAGTCAATATCACTTCAGTAGCTTAAGAGCAAATATTTAAAGTTTTGTCATGTGCCAGTGTTTTAAGTGTCATCAGAAATGAATGAATTTGCTGAGGGGCTTTAGAGGTTTTCATGGAACCTGAAGGATTCTGTCAGCACTTGATTTGGATCTCTGGCCAACTCATTGTAGCCCCCAAGAGCCCCCCTGGGGGCAGTAGTTTCAGCCCAGGTGCTCTCTCTGGATGTGGACACTGATGAGGGCAGGTAAGCTCAGAACACTGAGCTCCAAGAGTGGCATCTCTGAACTCCCAGGGCATCCCTGGCCTCACAGTTCCACACTTCCACCTGCAAAGCACAGCAAGGGTTAAATGCTCTGACTTTGTCCCCTAAGGAGTTCTTTGGGACTCAAGATGGGGTTGCAGTTCCAAAGGCCTTTTTTGGTTCTGCTGTGAGGGAGAGTTCCGCGGTACTGCTGGAGCGTGAGGGCTCAGCACTCATGGTTTGTGTTAGTGCGGCCAACGCATTCGAACGTGAAAAATTCCCTACCCATTAGGGAGTTCCTAGATGGGATCCAGATTCTGCCTGGGGAAAAGATCTTAATTCTGCTCACTCAATGAAGGATTTTAAGCCTCAAGCAAGTTTTGTCGAGAGAGGCCTAATTGCCTGTGGTTCAGGGAATTTTCCCTACATGGCGGCATCGTGAGGAGTGGCAGCTCCATGATGTCACCAGGGCTGTGCCAGGGCTTTGTTGGGAGCTCGGGGTGAGATGGGACGTGTCTGGCAGCGAAGGGGACCTGGCCTGGCACAGTCCTGGGCCCAGGCTGCCAGAGCGTGCCGTAGGACAGCGTGCTGCGTGTGGGAACTGGCTCCTTGGCTCATGCAGTATTCCCAGGAAAGCAGGCAGGGTTACAAATGGCTTTGTGTTACCATCTCTGTGTATCCTGCTGTGGCCAGCCCTGAGCTGCTCCAGGAGAAGCACAAGCTGCTGGCCCAGCTCGTGTGGCCCCCCAAAATCAGGAGCACACCCCTGTGAGGATCCCTGATCTCACATTTCTGCCCCAGGAGCCTGATGCCCAAAGGAGACAGGAGAGAGGCTGGTCCCCTGTGCTGGGAATGGGGCAGGCTGGGGCAGGTGGCTTCTGCCAGATCATGCTCGGCTGCATTTGGGCTTCTCTTTGGAGAGGTGTGTGCCCTGTGCTGCTCTGGCAGCCAGGTGGCTCTGCCACCATTCCCGACATGGCAAAGCAAACACAGCACAAACTGTGCACTGTGCACTGTGCACCTCAGAGTCCGGTGACAGTCAGGGTGTGCTCCAGGTGTCACCTTCCGCCCCAGCCACGGGAGCAGCCGTGCTGCCGAGAGAGGATCTGCTGTCTCCAGGATCCAGTCGCAGTACAGATCACTGAGTGCCAACCAGTAACGGGGGGGGGGGGGGGGCAAAAAAGGAGAAGAACCCCCAACTAATTAGCAGGCACTGAAAATCCCTGAGCCATCCCGTGCTGAAGTGGGAGCCACTATGGGAGAACAGCTCAGGCTTTGTGCACAGCCCACAGCAGCCATTTGAGGAGGTGAACGGGTTCTGGCACTAAATCCTGGGGCTGAATTACTCCATCCACTCGTAGCCAGATGGCAAAACCAACCAGTCCGGCCCTTCCATCAGAAGGGCCCTGTGCTGTTACGGGACACATCCCACAGACAAGAGCCCTTTAAGTGACCGGGAACAACACACTGATTGAGTAGACACGCAGGTGAAGTGATGAGCTCCCTCCAGGGCACAGGTGAAGACACTTGTTCCTGCTGTGAGTGCAAGGCAGAGCCTGTCCTGGCCGTGTTTCCAGTGGTCTGTGTTGGTTCCCACTTTACCAGCCAGCCCCAGAGGATGGCTGTGCTGCCCCAGCTCCCTGGCAGAAGCTGCTGCTGTCGGGGCTGAGCGTAGGCTCTTCAGCCTTGCCGGTCCCCAAAGTGAGGAGTGCCCAGTGGCAGAACCCCCAGCAAAGGGCCACACGCTCCCCAGAACACCCCAGTGCTGTGCTGGCTCTGAGGGGACCACACAGCATCACCCCTGTGTCACTGCTGGCAGTGTGACCCCTGTCCCCCTCTGGCAGGGTGCTGGGGGGGTGTAGGGTGGGTTTCCTGAAGCCCTGTCCTGGGGGACCCCATGCTCCCCAGTGCTGACCCCGCACAGCTGCCGGCGCCGGCCCTGGGTTTAGCACCAGTGTTTGCAGAGCGTCGGGGCCTTGGAGGCTCACACTGTTTATTTGTTCCTCGTAACTGAAGATGTCCCTCAGCCCTGGAGCAGCTTCCTGGGAAAAGCCATTCTTCAGCAAATAAATAATTTCCCGGGCGGGGAGGAGGACGGAGGCGCAGCTGCTGGCTGGCTGCGGGGCATGGCCCGGGGCTGGTGCCGCTGGAGGGGAGCCCTGGCCCTGTGCCCTGGAACACGTTCAGCAGCACCAGATGTTCCTGCCCAGCACAGCGGGCACAGCCCCGAGTGGATGGTGTCCGTGGGAGCTGGCAGCTCCCGCTCCTGGACCCTGTTCTGCAGCTGGGGCAGGGGCTGAGGGAATGGGGGACCTGCAGAGGGAGATTCGAGTCATGGAATCAGAGTCATTTAGGTTGGAAAAGACCCTCAAGACTAGTTCAACCATAAACTAGTTCAACCATAAACTTAGCATTGCTGAGGGAAGCTCGGGCCCCACCTCCTTTGGCTGGTGTTCGCTGCGATGGACACAAACCCCAGCTCTTCTAATGCTCCTGTCACTGCTCCTGTCACTGCTCCTGTCACCTCCCTCTGCCAGGACAGCCCTGAGCCGCTGTCCTGAGTGCTCCCACTGTCCTGAGTGCTCCCACGGGGGGTGACCCCATTTCTGCATGCAGCAGGATGTGTGGAGACGGGATATGGACACACAAGGTGCTGTGCAGGGCAGGGAGCTTGGGAGCAACCACCCTGGGCACGTCCTGGTGCCCTTGGCCATGCCCTGCCGCACTGCCCACTGCCCTCCACGTGCCAGGAAGAGCTGGCCCTGCACGGCTGCGTGTGAGCAGCGTCTGGCACATCTGGTGACCACAAGCCCCACGTTGTGAGCGCCCAGCCCGGTGGGGAAATGCTGCGTCCCGCCGGCGGCGCAGATGGCCCAGGTCTGCCTGGGGCAGCCGCCCGCGCCTGGCCCTGAATGCCCATTTTGTTGGCCAGGCTGGGGCAGGACTAGCCCCCACACTGCCCTGGCCCTGCTGCTCCATGAATACAGGCAGTGTCTGGACGCAAGTGCTGCACTTCAGGGCCCTGCACCCGCTGTCCCGGGGGCTCCCAGGCAAAGGTGACCCTGGGGCTCCCTGGGACAGGGGCTGATGTGTGCTGGGGCTCCTGGCCCCCGGCCAGCCCAGCTGTGCATCTGCAGGGAGATGAAGAAAGCCCTTGCATCGGGCTGAGCAGAACCTGGCCACGAGAGTGGCCTGCGGGCAGCCCTCTCCTCCTGCCTTGCTGTGCCCTGGGTGCTGCTGGGGAAGGGGTGTTTGCAGGTGCCCCCTGCCACCCCGAGGGGCTGCCGTGCCAGGGGCTGGGGTGCTTTGGAACTGGCAGCAGCAAGCCTGGGAACAGATTTCTGTTTCCACTGGTGAGTGAGTCAGCGGTGGCACCGCCAAGGCCCGTGGGTCCCCTCCCTTCCCTCCGGCCACCGCCACCACCCACCACCCGCTGCCCAGCCCTTTCCCACAGCTGCCCAGGGTTGTCAGCCTTGGCACCTGTGGCTCCACATCACCTCACATCCCTGCATCACCCTGCAGCTCTCCAGACACTGAGCAGGGCCCCTGGTGGCACCAGTGATGTGGCACATGTCCCAGCACAGGCGGCCAATGGGTGGGGGCACAGCATGAGGGCTGTGCACTGGGACTGAGCCTTCTGCTCCCCATGGAGGACCTGGGGACTGCTGGGCTCTGCCAAGAGGCTGCTAGTGTGGCTGGGCACCACGTCCCAGGCACAGCTCTCTGCTGAGCCCCTGGTCCTGAAGCCTGGCTGTGCCTGGACAGCTGCGGGATCTGGGTGGAGGCAGCTCCTGGGGTGGGACAAGGACTCAGGTTTTGGTGCACCCCCAGTGGGTGCCAACAGGCTGCAGCCATGGACAGGCTCTGGCCAGGATGTCCCTGGCACTGTGCCCTGCTCACTGTACATCCTGCTCACCCAAAGACTGGCCACCCCTGGCTCACCTCAGCCCCGAGGCAGTTCTGTGCTGGGGCACCATGGGGAGAGCAGGACGCCAGCCTGGGCAGCGGGGCCAGGAATGAGGCAAAACCACCACAAACAAACCAGCCCAGCCAGTAACTGAGAAGGAGGCGGGGGGGGGATCAGGGCTCACTGCCTGGCTGCACCGAGGGCAGCCGTGCCCGCGGGAGGGGATTTTGGGACTGAGGGCTGCGGCACCAGAGCCACCTGCCCAGACGGCCTCGGCTGCCCTTCCCAGGCGCCACATTGCTGTCACGGGGCCCTTGGGCACCACAGCCCCCCAACATCCCTGTCTCAAGCTTCATTTGCTGCCTGCTGCTGAACTGAGAGATTTTAATCTTTTAATCACGTTATGAGCCGAGGTGGTGCCGGCCACGCACAGGAGGAATGTCTGGAAGTCAGCAGCGCCCGTCGCGGTGGGAGCCCATCCTGCCCCCACCCACATGTCCCCACCGTGTACTGCTTGGGGACCCCCATGCTCCCCAGCCTGCCTTGTCCTGCCTGAGACTGCAACTTGCACCAGGAAAAGGCCCCGGGACCAGAGACCAGGACCAGGCATCG